TCGATCAATACATGTTATTGTTTAAAGATGTGCTAGACGAGGCTGACACTGTAAACAATACAACGTGAATAAGCATCGCGGGCAGGATTTCAAGGATCGCGGGCGAAACAAAAGCGACGCGGCTGTTTGTCTAAGCGATGCGGGCCTGCAGTCCTTGAAAGGCCTGGGGAGAACACAGAAAACGCTTATTATTATGATCATCAAGAGAAATGATAAGTAGTTTTGGAAACAAATCATGAAAATATTGGAACACTGTGAAAACCATGTTGAGGTAAGAGGTCCTTGAGCTTCTCACCTATAATTCCAATAATTCGCCTCCCCCCTCCCCAATTCTGTATACCCCTCTTCGGGTCACTTTTAGGAGACATAATGAATTACACTGTGTAGTGTTAGGGTAAGAGGAGCCTTAAGGAACTTTTTCCATAATGGAAATCACAGTTGATACCAATCATGTCAACTAACTACAATTGCTTTTCCTTTCCTTGCATGCATGCAAACTACATGAAATTAAAAGTGGAAATGAAAACCAATACTGTAAAGGGGGTAATTATTCACTGGGTTTTAATTTAGCTTATTTCGCTGACTGGAAAAATGCGCTAAATTAAAACACAGTGAATATGTAAAATTTAGCATAAGACACATTACCTAAATGACGAAACCGTGAATTTAAGACCCACTGAATATGCCTGAAATGGTAAATCAGTGAAATTTAAACCCAGTGAAAATTAGTCATTTTACAGTACATGCATAGCCCAAAATAGAAGCTGTCAACCAACATGAGCACATCACTTGACCAATTTAATTACCTTTTGAGTTTGTTTAGTTACGACTTCTGTCATTTTGCATTGAAAAACAATTACTAGTAAACAGATTTTGATTATTCCAAAAACAGATAAATTACAACCTTGTTAGTAATTATGTATTTCTTGTACGCTATTCAGCAGTTCCTCAATTTGATAGCCTGGTTGCGTTCCACATTTAGAAGTGACTTTTCAGATCTAAAGTAACACTACACAAAAATTAATGTTTTCAACTGGATCAAAATAGCAAAAATGATAGTAAAATCAAAATCTGCATGAATGGCATATGATTGAGCATTTTACACAAGTAATTCAGCAGATGAGAAACAATCTGGAGATGAAAGTGAATTTCAACACTTTTAATGATGAAAGCAATTAAGCCCATTTACACAAGCCACAATAAACCTTGAACAGGTGTTGGTTACTCTGAACAACCTAATTTTGACCTGGAGAAATAAGGGAAAAAATGAAATTTTCTAAAAATTATGACAGAATTGATGCACGAAACAGTGACAAATGGGTAAATTGTTCAAAAATACTTGGAATGCAATCTCCTTGAGAAACATAAATCTGATTCAAAATGGTTGTCGAGAAAAACGCAGCAGCAAAACAACTAGTTATCTTACATCAAATGACATTGTTTTCAGACCACAGAACTTACTACTTAGACAAAACAGTAATAATTATAAACAATATGATTACACAATACATTCACATAATTACGAAATGTTACATTTTCAATAATAATATGCAAATAGCAGAGTGAAAACATGACCTTGGTCAGATCCATTTAAAAACACTACAAATGTGACGTTTAAATTATGACAAGCCTTATCACAATTTTTTTTACTAGTAAACCAACTTTTTTGAATTATTTGTTGAACATTATAAATCTCAACAACTAACATGCTTAACATTTCTGCTACTTTTGCGACGATACTGCTAAATAATTCGCGTGGATATTTACATGAAGGTGCTTTTACTATTAAACACCCCACCCAGAACCATTGTGGGCAGCCTTCATTGGACCCGATCATTTTTCACTTTGTTATGAAATTTAAACGTTGTCATTGCCATTAAATATACTACAATACAACTCACGATTGGTTCAATAAAAAACATGCCTATCAAAGAACATAAAGTCGAACTATTTCCTTCCAAAAATTGAGAATTTGTTTTATTTTTCATCAGTCATGCTTCCGTCTCGACGCCATATTGGATTCTTTCAACAAGGGTTCAATTCCACGCAAATCGCCAAATTAAAGTACAAAAATTAAGTTTACCTTCTGTAATCTTTCGATCAGAACTGCTTTGATCCCTGCTTTCTCCTGGCCTCGCTTTTCAAGTTCAGCACGAAGATCTATAACGCGTAATTCGGTCACTTTCTTTTTGATTGTTTCAGCCATTTTCTCGCCAAGAACCTGGACGCGCGAAATTAAAAAGCCCCGGATGTTGATTTGTCGCTTGGGGAGTGCGCCATCTATGGAGGCGTATCGAAAGGTTGGATGCTTTCGATTGGTTGCGCCAATCATATGACGATATAAGCCGACCACGTGTATATTTCGCAACTGGAATTCGGTCAGTGTTCATCTCGTCGTACCTTCTTGAAACAGAAAATGTCAAAGTATTATTTTCGTGTTGCAGCGATACATTTACCAGCTGACTCAGACTGTATCATAGATAGATAATTTATTCTTTTTTGCTACCGTAATGAAACAGTACATTTCTATTTTGGTTACACATAAATATCCCGGGATAAATATATTCAAGATATTATTTCAAATGAAAATTGTTTCTCTGAATTGTTTTCCAATATTATTTTTACATAGTCAGTTAGTTTCGTCTTAATAAACTTTCGGTATGCACCGAACATTGGACGCTGACTGCAAACACTGCAAAAAATATGGTTGTTAATAAAATACTACTAATATTCAAAGGGCGGAAGTCGTGCCGCGTCCTGTTCGATATGGGACTCATAGCGACATATACAACGCGTGTAAAGTACATTGTTTATTTACGTGAAATTCGAACATGCGCTGCGCAACGACCACCGTGCTTTAGCGGAAACTTTGGGAGAGTTAATCGAGATGAATATTTAGCGACCCGATTTATAATCATAGTGGGTGTATGAAGAGTTATTTAAAAACAAATTTGCAAGTTAGACACAGATGGAGATGGATGCAAAGTTTTGAAAGAAAAAAATGCTCGTAAATTCAAGAACAATAAAGATGTACAAGAAAGACAGCGTTTTTTTTTACTGGTCACACTTTTCCATTGATTTTAGGAAAATGAACACATAAAATCAGGTTGTTTTTGGGGGCAAGTAAATCTGTAAATAGTCGTGTCACAGGAAGCTGAACAGAGACAACAGAGGATAGGAGGAACACAGTCCCTCTATCCTCTATATAGAGGGACTGTGGGAGAAAACACAACACACAATTTGCATAAAAACCAACGGAAACAATACACATGAATGCGTACCGTAGCTCTCACCTCACAACGCACTGTCTAGCGAAGACGAATATGAAGAAAAAAGGGAACCCGCGAGAAAAAAAAAACGTAATAGGAACAAGTAGCATGAAACGGCGATTGCTAACCATTGGAATACACTGCTAACGAGCGGAAATTATACCTTTATATTATCTGCAACATAGACCATGGAGGTAAAAACTCTTTTCTACCTCCATGCATAGACCTATGAAATACGGTGTTTACAGGTTTATCAACGTCAGATATTACCACAACTACTATGGTTTGTCGTCTGTTGTACATTCAAGCAATTTAATATTAGCGCAAACCCAGCCAATCAAAAGAGTACTACTCGGTGGACACTCGGATTTCTTCACTTTTTTTCAGTAATTGTAAATGTGGTATAAATTTATAAATTTTAAAACACAAACTTTAATAGACCTGTTCAACAAACCTGAGAAGTTACACAAACTCGTTTTAACCTATATGTTTCTAGTGTTTTATTCTACAATTTCGATGAACACATTTTCAATACTGTAAGTAATAGATTTATTCACTAAACGATCACGTGACTAACTGAGGGTTGCGCCTGATAAACCTTTGCGGGTGTGTGGGGGGGGGGGTCCTCACCATTCCTCACACCGAAGGCGCGACCTTACTAGGGGGACCAGGCATGGTCCCGGAACAATTTTGAAATCTAGACCCTCTGAAACGATATTTCCTGAATTTGAGGGGCAAATTTTGCTGACACAAAAGGCTTCAGCTTGATTTGGGGGAGGGGTGATGCAACCCCCGAATTATTTTCGAGAGGGCGCTCGCCCCGGTGTCGTCGCCACTGTCTTTAGCCTGCATCTCTAACAAGAGATCCAGTAAGCCAACATATTTCACTATTAGGACATTCATTGATTATGATTATAACTATAAATATCATAGTACTGATTGTACCTCATTTATGAATACTTGAACATTAGTGAAGATTTCTTTGAAAACCTAGTTATATTTGAGGGCAAAGAAGAAAACGCAGAAATCTTTTGTGAATCATCATCTGAATTGCGCGGTTTCGCCAACTTGATGTAAACATAATCTTTTGTGAACCTTGGCTGGCGTAGATGTCTGTGAATAAACTCTCATTAAATCAATGTAACCATGGAGGTATGTGTCATTCTATGTATACCTCCATGGTGTCACATGAATAAAGTACGCTATGTTACCCGCCTGCCAGCCAGTAGCCTGGATATGAATAGTCTTACCTCCATAATTCTGTTCACGGGGCTTTGTGAAGGTTCTTGACATTTTTTAACAAAATATATTTTTTGTAATTTCTGTAAATGTGAACGTATACGACTCAAACACTGGTAAGAATAACATAGCAAAATAATGCTTTTGATGAATTCATGAATCTTTTACATAATTAGTTGGGCATACCAACAAAAGACATCGCACATGTTTTACTGGGAGCTGGAAATCGAGATGTGACAATGGCTGTTTATGAATGAGAACAGTATTGATTTGGGGATTTTTTCTTCTTAAAAACACAGGATGCAAAGTTAGCCAAATAATGCAAGTTGAATATGAATATGAGCAGCAAACTGGAATGGATTTGTGTTCATAGGTGTGAGCGATCATTCTCACGAAACAGAATTTTCTATCTTCATCTGACTTTGTGTGAACACTATTTTAGAAATAAACGCAACTTTATTTTCAGAAACCAAATACAGCCTTGGGAGGATTAATACCCCAGACAATTCGTCCGAGTGTTTGAGCGATATCATCAAGATGAATGGTCTCAGAATTATTGAAATCATGATGGCTGATAAACCACGGTTCTAGTAACCGTGGATAAACTAACTACAAGTACATGTACTGTCAGCAGACATGCAGGCACACGCCCTCTAGTGGTGAAGTTGACGCCCAAATGCAAAAGAATATACAAGCCTAATTTGGGTGTAATCATGGGTTATGACCAATTATCTTTTCATAATTAAAAATTTATCACGGCTTAACCCTTTGAACGCCAAAGTAAAAATTTGTCACCAATCACAAATATTAAACCATATTAAAATTTAAAAACCCTTTCCGAAAACATTTATTCAACAAGCAAACAGTTGAATTAGCTCCACTGGAGTAGTGTTCCTGTCAACAAACTTGATTATGTTGTATTCGATTATAACAAAGCTAAAAATAGAATGGCATTTGGTGTTGCACATATATTTATTTATGTGCCAGAGATGGACAAACTGTTCTAGTAATACTCCCGGTAGTATATTTTCAGCAAATTTTGTTTTCCTTGTCTTAGAATTATTTTAGCTGTTCTTTTTGTTTTGTTTTTTCCATCTGTTCATATTCATCATTAGCTATCTGTTTCATTTATGAACAAAGAAAGATAATACAAATTTTTGCTGAAGTATGTGATACCAAATGCAGAATCTTAATACAACACATGGATATCATTCATAATAATATATTTATTTACATTTATATATTTATATTTGCACATAACAACAAATACGGTAATACAATTCATTACCCATTATGTGTGCAACAAAGAGGCACGCTATGATGGGTACATGTATCAAGATACTCAATAGTGTTACTACAAGTTAGCATATGAGGAAGAAGTTTTACAGTAATTAACCATATAGTTTTTGTTAAAATCAGTGGCCTTCAAGTCTCAACTGAATACCAACGTTGATAGTGTGGTTGAGGGTCTAGAATCAGTTTCTGCCATAGGCCATTTTATATCCCAATCCATGAATTATGCATTTTTTCAAAAACGCTATATTACTCGGTACTCATAGTTTTGTGTTCCACATATGTTTTTTATATAAGCAGAATTTGTGGTTAACACAATTCCTGCTCAAGACATATGTAAGCCGTCCATTTTTTTTTTACATTGCAAATGTCTCTATAGAATTTATACTCTGTCCATTTTGTTTAAAATAAATTGAATGCAGAAAAAAAATGATATAGAAATCTTGAAAAAAATTGCATTTTAATTTATAAAATTGTTTGAATGTATTATAAATAAATAGGTAATTTTTTGTTCAACTGCGAGATCTTGCACATTGCGTGAAAGGCATTGACCGAACGTTTGCCGCAAAAATCGAACGATTTTATCTTGAACTTGAAAAGCTCCATGTAGAAAGGCTGATCTTACAGAAGTGTGTTGAGATATCCATACTTCATCAAAATAAAACAACATCAAATGTGTACAGCACATTATTAAGCGTGGAAATATCCCCAAATACTTTTGCGTTTGTCGAATTACACACAATGTTTGACACCACTACGAGTCTATGACCTTTGTTTGTCTTGTTTTTGTGTCCGATTTCACGCATAATGAGGGCTCTTGCAGTGAACTAAAATTGTCTATTTAGGTAGCAACAGGGGAATAACAAGTTGAAAATTTATATGTGATTCAGATATTCACTAAAAGTAACTTGCTGACGAGCAATCTTGTAAGTTCTATGTGCGCGTCAATCTAACCAATTGCATCACAGAGAAAAGTGGACGCATAGAAATGTTTGATTACATCCACAGAAATTAGTGGAATTGTGTTCGAAATTTTGTGTAAATGAGCAATGTATTTCACACATTTGTATCCGTTGTATGGGATCCATGACGATGCAACTGGAAAATACATTAATTTTTGTTATAGTGCTATAGTAATGACCGATGTAAATGTTAGAAATTCAGTTTCTAGACTTTAAAATAAATTTTTGATTTCACTATAGAAGGACAATATATGTAAGTAAATTATCAAAATCACATACTTTATCATACTTTATAGATTTAGATACTTTGTGTTCAACACATTGTCCACTGACATTGGTACTGTAGAATACTTTATTTTCGCTTGGAATTTATTTTTGCTATTTTTGCTGAAGGGATGATTCCATGAAAATAAAATCCAGCGAATATAATTTTTTTTCTCTATTTCACATTCAACTCAGCAAAAATCAGTGAAAATAAATTCAATACAAAACACCCAAAATGCCTTTTCAGTAAAAATTAATTCCTGCTGAAATAAAGTATTTTACAGTAAGTCTGTGGAGGCTTACAGCTTGCAATGTGTTAATAGCATTAATTTATTTAATTAGGTTATTAATTTAACTTTTTAACCATCAAGACCCTGTTTCCCTGAGTTTTCTTAATCATGACAATCCAAAGAACTGATCAACATAGGCAGCAAACTTCTCGGGCTGTCCAGGAGGGAATGGCTTCAGTTTGGAGACATCAAGATCTTGTAATGTCTTCAATAACTCACTGTAAAGAAGAAAAAGTCATTATGTTTGGGATTTGACATAATGTTACTTACTTGTAACAAATACGACCATGGTATGTCTGACTTTTCATATTGTTTTGGCATGCTTTTGTTTTTTAATTACCAGTAGCCCATCTAAAAAAAATTGTGACATGTCCACGGAAAGTTACCTCGCATGTTGAAAATTTCAAATCCGAAGAAAATATGAGAACTGCCCGTCCCCTATGTTTTTGTGATAACAATACCCTAAACCATTAAAGGGTGAGCAGAGGTCTGGCTTTTGTCACTCCGTACATCCGTTTGTGCTGCGAAATGCCCAAAATACTGGGGGGGGGGTATCTGGTATAAAACGAGTAGACGACAAAAGTTCTCTTTGGGCTGGTTCTCGTCTCAAGTGTCATGGCGTACCAAGCCACAAGGGGCAGGTAACTAGTAACGGTTCCTGCATTCTGATTGGTCAGCGAAACGTTCTCTTTGCCTGGCATCATTTTGCCTCTAGGGGCGCTGGGTGATGACGCCACTAATGAACATGACGTCTCAGTCATATCACTTTTGTATACACATACCTATTCTAATTTTGGTTTCCACAAACATTGAATAGCCGCAAAATATATTCAAATATATGTAGTTTTTAAGTATCTTTAATTACCGGGTATATGCACGCAATCTGTCTAAGGACTCCAATGAAAACTCCACTGTGACAATTTCATTTATAAAAATTTATGATATTGTTCCACTAACCTAGGAGTGCAATAGAGTAGATGTCCCTCTGTGTAGAGTTTATATGCAAGTTCTATCTGGTGGTTACCCATTAAATGTTCATTGATTACCACCACCAGTGGTTTCTTAGCACCAAGACTTTCTAATACACTACCGGCACCTGAGGGAGAGGAAATATTTTTGGGTGAATACCATGTAAGTTAATTACTCCCAATGTCTATGAGATTAACATTTTCACCACCAGTTACCTCTTTTTATGACAAAATAGTTCTGTTTATAGTCTGCACATTCATTAAGAAGACTGGGACAAAAATAGCCAAATTTTTTGAGTAAAAACTGAAAATTGATTCAAATTGTGTCATTTCCAAAAATATTGAAAAATACAAGAAAAAAGTTCTAAAAAATTGTGTGGCGAGAAAGTCTGGTTGTTAAAAGGTTAAGACAACAGTGGTATAATTTAATAACATTATTTAGCAATTAACAATTTTGATGGCTTGAAATAGGTGATTTTCCGTACAATTGCGAGATCTCGTGAGATGCATGAAAGACGCGCGTCGAACGTCTGCTGTAAAAATAGAACGATTTGAGTTTCAACTCGAATTTCTTTATTTCGTAGCTCACATCGACCGGCCGATCTTCGACAGAGGAATATTGCTTCCGAATACTCTCACTTAATCGAAATTGCCTATCATCAAATGTGGACAGCATATTATTAAGCATGGAAATGTCCCCCAAAATATTTTTGCGTTTGTCGAATCCCACGCGATGTTTGACGCCACTACGACGCTATGACCTTTGTTTGTCCTGTTTTTACGTTCGATTTCACGCATAACACGTGATTCTCGCAGTGAACGGAAAATGGTCTCTTCATATGCCTGTCCATATTTTATCAATTGCACACATTCCTTGTTCATGTGTACAAACAGGGAACTGTGAAAAAGGGTGTGATTTTCGATTAAGATCTAAATATGAAGTCATACAATTTGTGAAATGATTGCAGGACAAAAACATACATCTATTAATACTAATAAATAAGTCTGTGAATGAAATTGTGGTCGTCTTGACCTACTTTTCCCCTGCTGACAAAGATTTTGATATTACCGTGGCGGCTTTCATCAAGCGATGTGATGAATTGTTCAAATCGAAGCATGTATTATGTGAGTTTTGAGTTTTTGAATACATGGATAATTGGTTCGACTGATATTCACACAGAACAGGATCTTTTTCGCATATCATCGCACATCACTGCACATATAGATACCTTAGTTGCTTACCCTTGTAATTCCTTTGTTCAGGTATGTAAATATTTATAGTGGTTACCACAAATATGTGCATTTGATAAGTTTCCAATACAAAACATAGCAATGTGCATGCATGTGTATGAAGCGTGTGGTTGAGATAAACACATTTAAATGGATGCAGCCAAGGTGGGGAATGTCACACATGTCAAACAAAGCCCCTACAGTAAACTGGACAGTTGATCACATGACTAGAAATTACAAATAGTTTATCTTGACGTATCGCTATCAAACAAAAAAAATCAAATTAATCAAATTTTAAAAACTACCCTTGAAAATAAATACTGGTATACCAGTTTCTGGAAAGAAATAATTTAGAAAATAGCAAACTGAGAACATGTGCTAAATTTAAAACAGAATACATCTTTGAGCCATATTTGAATGAACTTGACATTCATCAGAGGAAAATGTTGACAAAATTTAGAATTAGCCATAACTTGGCAATAGAGGAAGACAGATATTCATTTCCTAAGAAATCTATAAATAAAAGAATATGCAATAACTGTGACACAAATTGAATTGAAGATGAAGAACATTTTCTATTGAATTGCCCAAAATATAACACACACAGGAAAAATTTCATCCAAAAAATTATTACACTACTTTCATCCAATAATAAAAAATATACAGTTCACATATATACCCTCAAGCAAAGATCCTGGCATAATTATAGAACTTGCCAATTATATTTACACAACAAAAAGATTGATTTAACATTTAAATACTATCGTAGTTAAGTTCTTCTGTTTTGTTTTTTGTACAATTCTTACATATATCTTGTTATTATTTTAAAACTCTTTTTTGCAGTATGTAAATGTATGTAAATCCTATGTAAATCTTTTTACACGGAGGCAATAAAGTTATTTTTATTATTATTATTATCGGGGGTTTCGTTAACAGCTGGCCTACACCCGTCTCGCTGAAGCGCTTCACACTGCCGAGAGCCTTTTTTTTTTTGGCCTGTTGTTACAGAATGATGGCCGGCTATTAAATGCATTTGTGAAACCCCTCCATATATTCACTTCTTCACATCACTGTATGCAGCTCAGCACATGGAAGTCTACTCGTAAAAATGGCAATACTTAACAATATCAGGGACCTTTTTTTTGTGTGAACCCATCTTTTTATATCTGGTACAACCAGAATATGCAATTTTAAATAAAACTGGCATCAAATAAGTAGGAATCGTTTCTCTTGATGATGGCAGCCATATGGTAAATGACATAGGAGTCATAGATGAGCTGAATTAGAATAATCCATGACGCAAAACAACTGACAAAGTAAATTAAAGAACTGAAATGAAAATCCTTTGTTACTGTGAATGTGTGCATTTGTTTTTTGAATAAGAACAAACGGGAACTGTCTTTAGGCAGGCTCTTTAATGCAAGTTGCAAAACCTTCTGAAAGTAAAACTGTCTGTAAATGTGTATTTTATGTTAGGATCATTCTCAATCAAACCAATGAAAAGGCATCATAAGACTTACATGAACATACACATTTCAGAAAATCTATTACAAGAGTCTACCTCCAAATAAAGGAGCAATCGTGTGTATCACAAAATTATTAAAATGCACCCTAAATATAAAGAAGCTTAGTAAAGTGAAATACTTTATTTTAGCTGGAATTAATTTTCGCTGAAAAGACTTTTTGGGTGTTTTGTATGGAATTTATTTTCACTGATTTTTGACTGAGTTGAATGTAAAATATAGGAAACAAGCTGCCAGTCGGCTGAGATAGCTCCACTGTTAGCAATGCACATTTCAATTAAAGAACAGAAGATATCATTAGAAAATGAACAATATGTATAGTATCAAAGCAATGGGACTTGCTGTTTTCAACAAGAATTCAAAAATATCACTTTTTACCAAAAATGACAAAAATATTCACCAAAATTAGAGAATTGAAGATATCATCATGAAATGAGCAAACCTAAGAGAGGTCCACCCAAGGTACGGTACATATACACCAAGTATCAAAGCATTCAGGCTTGTAGTTTTCAAGAAGAAGTTGAAAAAGTAAAACATTGACACGGACGACGGCGGACAATCACTCATATGATAAGCTCCGCTCGACAAAGTCGACAGCAGAGCTAAAAAGATACATTTGCTGGATTTTATTTTCACTAAATCATTCCTTCAGCAAAAAATTAATTCCAAGCAAAAATAAATTATTTTACAGTAGTTTCTACCTGCATGGCTGATAATAAGTGAAGCACCCTTGATGTCATCCGCAATAGAATCCTTAAATCTATAGACATCCATACGAAAATTTGGTTTAATGAACGACTCGGGTTCATACTGACCACGTCCAATCTGTAGTACCAATCGGGTGAAACCAAGACTTTCTAGTTGCTGTAAAACAAAATCAACTCTTTAAAACTAGTTTTGTGGACTTGATTTAAACATACACCCCTTCCCTCACTAAGTTGTATGTAAGATTTTACTAACAGACTGTGTATCTGACTTTTGTAGAATACAAAAAATCCCCAATTTCAAACATTCGCCAAATAAGAGCTGGTGAGGAATATGATAATGAGAACGTAAAACAAAATGCGGGTGTCAAATTGCCAGAGAGGGCGCACTTGATTAACATTTGCTGAATAGTCCAAAAAGATGCCTTTGAGTTCTGAAGTCAGGATGTCAAAAACTGAAGATGGCCAGAACACTTTATAGCCACCTACAACAGGAAGGCATTTTCTTCTGATTTCTTTTTCACCTTTTCACATGGAAATAACCTTATGGGGTGTCCAAACTGGAATACCTCTCCTGCAGCATGTCCACTCACACGTTTGATGTTTCATCAAAAAAACACAAGTCAAAATCTAACACTGGGAATGAGACTGAGGGAGTGCTTGAGCTTACTTCTGAATCCAGTGATTAGTTTAGTAATCACAAGAAATCTGGCGGTGAGGAGTCATATGGTAGCATGCAAAAATTAGACTAAAATGAGGACTGCATTAGTTACAGTCGAAGACGCTACCAAGCTTTAATTAGGTATTTTTTGGTGATTGGAATGTATTGAAAGAGTCACCGGCGGTGATTAGTGCATGTTGCGCCCAGTTCAAACCTCATACTTGTGATTTTCATTAGGAGAACGCATTGGATTGTTGGAAAATTAATGTTTATCAATACACATGTCACACATGCGCGGCGCAGCAACTACTGCCCTTTAAAATTGAACGTTCATGGGGTATTTGTTGGGCAGAGAGGGAAGATATGAAGCAGAGTTTTGGTCTACTCATCTGGTTACCAATGATTGTAAGGCCTTTAAAAGTAAAGAGAGAGTCATGTGTGCAAATGGATTCCCCATCATAAGCACTAATTGGATTCCCCTACAAGTGGGAACATTGCTACCACGTATCTGGTGATAAGTTTAAAGGCCCAGGTATACTATAAAACAATAGGGATTATTTCCTTGCTTGTCACACTGTAGGAAACAGCTCCAGCCAAGCTCTGGTAAAAATGCGTTTTCTCGAACTTACAGGTCGATTATGTCGTGCCGAAGTGGATGTACGTGACTATGAATATCACAGCAGTGACTGTGCGTAGTATTTATGACAATAAATAGTGTATGAGCTGAGATTTTGGCGGATAAAAGTCAAAAACATGAACAGGGGAAAGGAACGCGCTACTAATCTTGAATAATTAACTACTGTCAATCAAAGTCACGTGATGTTGGACCGCTGAAACAGGATGCGTCATAGGCTTTGCAAGTGATTAACAACACTCATTAGCATAGCCACACCTCCAATTCACACTTGCCCGGGGCAAGTGAATTGGGTCTTTAAGGGCAAGAGTAATACCATGCCATATGATTTACTATTGATGGACCGAGAGGTGAATTTGTTCAGCAGGAGAGATTGTTTAACTTTCGGGGATAGCATGAAGTTACCGGTATACAAATTGCTAGATTAACAAGTCAAGAAATTAGATGATAGTATCTCTTTGAGGTCACTGTTCTAAATGCTGTATATGGTGGCACCATTGTGTGGCAACAGCGGTACAATGCAATAGAGAGGTTTGCGGCTTCTATGAGAGCACCTACACATATGAAATATGATGAATTTTTGGTTTTCAATTTTTCAAAAAGAATGGGTGCGACTTCTATTAGGGATGCTGCTTCTAATACAGATTTTACGGTAGTGACATTTCGGTTTCTGACTCAAAGGCTGCTTTTGATAGAACAATACAATAATTTGCTGATCGTTAGGTACCACTTTTATCAGGCCTTCATGTCTACAGGGCCATTATTACTCAGACTGGTGTTGCCCGGTTCCTTATAGAATATGATATGAATATTATAAAAGTTTCCAAATAGCATAGCAATAGATCTAAGCAAAATTGTGGAGAGAAAAATATACAAGCAATGACTTTGGCGAGAAAAAAATAATTTCTTATTTTTGGTGCCAAAAATGATAGACAGTACATAGGGAAAACAAAACATCTGATTACTTAAGTTACTTAAGTTAAGCAACAAATTCTGGAGAGTAGTTATATGGTACTGACATCTGTTATATTATTATGACATACATGTAATTAGCACTTCTATTGTCTTCATTATTGCACTTACATTTATATCTAAATTTTTTTTATCTATTTTAGCACAATTTTTACAAAATTACATATTACAAAAAATTACTTGAATTATCCAGTCGAGTGTTAACAACGACAACTGACATTGTAACCACAATACTTTGCCATCTCATTATCATTATTGGCAAGGTAAAACTATGGGCTATGGAGCTGCGGCAATTAAAGTTAAATGTTTCTTTAAAGTCACATTTGTTCACAATTATTCAGAATGGTATTAAGCTGTCCTAGAAAATACAATATAATGTGTCTATAAAGGGTGGTATTCAGTGCTATAATCTGACTTATGATCTATCAGCATATACTGGTAGAGGGCACTATTTGGGGCCGTATACTGTATTTTATTTCTTCATATATTGATAATAAAAATAAGATAACATTGGATATACTTCAGTTTTTTTGGCATTAAAAAAAAATATGGGAGACCATAAGAACACTGATGGGCTAATTGAGACCAATCACCATATAGAGCATGGTAGTTTTGGCCATGGACATTTAAATCAAGAATCTTGCATGGTTGAAGATCATTTGGTTCAATTTTCTCTAGCTTAATATACTAGTATTTGAAAATAGTGACAAAACAATCAACAATGTGCAAAAAATATTAGCTATGGTAATGGTTTAGCATACAATAACTCAAAATTTGTTGTTTGTATCGTATGTGCTTTTATTGGAAGATATGTGCTTTCTAATAGAGCAAATATGGTAAACTGTGAATGTGAAGGATTACAAAATGCTTGACAACTATTACAGAAGGAATAGTTTGTAGAGAAACTTTATAACCATGGAATATGTTAAACTTGTCCATTTTGTCGTGCAATTTTAATATTAGACCGTGTATTTACATTCACTTGGTCAGATTCCCCTTTCACCCATTTTCTACAGGGCTTGGGTGCCATGCAAGTTTGTTTCAAATTGAGGTAAACTTGTTCACTTTTTCTGTAATTCTCTCTGAATTCAATCTTAATTTTGAACCAAACAAACAAAGTGTGACATTGCTTCCAGTTTCTGATTGCAACTTTTTGTGCAGAAAAAAGCAGACTAGATATAAATGAAACTACATGTATTTTTTATGGTGCCTTGTGTTGGCACTCAAAGAGAAAAGAAATAAATCTTTTGTTTTTAACCTCTATCACTATTTTGTGTATTGTCTATTGAATCACATCTTGATCACTACTATTGCTTTAGAAATAATTAATTTCAGAGGTATAAATTTAAAATGAATTAAATTTTATTTTTTCTGAATACCTCTGTCTAATATCCATCTAAAATGTTGATAATCTATGATAATTCTTCAGAAATGAGTAAATATACAATATTTCAGCTTCCTTTCTAAAAGGTTTGGGAAATTACTGATAGTAATGTTATTTTTTTTATCTTTGGGCCTTGTTCATATTGAAATTGTCAATATAAAAATACTGTACTAACTTTTAGTGAGGTGATCTTGAAAACTAAACTTGAAGTCAATTTATTTTCTGTAGTTTCTTTCTGTTTGAGTAGGATAGTACATGACATGACTGAATTACAGCCAAAACAAAGTCAGCTTGGACATTCAGTTGTGAGACATGACAAAATAAACGGTGCCAGCGATAGATTTTGAGTATGAAAGAACAAAATAAACGCAATCAAAGACGCCAACCACGCGCGTTGGAAATAAATAGAATGCGTTGCGACGAGAAATCTCACCTGCATCTTTCACTCGCGCAAATGCACACACGCATGCTATTTCCGTATATTGAATACGCTAGCAAAGAAAGGGACAAGTTTAAATCATCTTTGTATTAACACAACTTGAAAGCAGCAGTCTGACACTGAATATACGTTTATAAATTATCAAACTAAACATTCAATTGAAGCGGGCTGCGACGGTTAAGACGAAAAGACAAGGCTAACAGTGGCGGGTCCAGCAAAATGTATTGGGGGGTCCAAGCTTCGCTAAAGATATATGGAGTGTAAATCGCAGAGAAGCTATGCGTAATCCAGATGATATGAATCGTCATGCATTTGGGAGGGTGGACATGCCCCCCCCCCTCTGGATCCGCCACTGAAGGCTAAGACGAAAAACATGTGACAGTATGATTAAGCTCGTCTACTACACGCCTGGGAACTACACGTTCGAGTATCCAACTTCCTAATACAAAACATGTTTACTATCAGCAATAATTTCTAGTACTGGCTGGATAATTACGTATTATCAGTTGACATCAGACATATAGCTGTACAGGATTTTTTGAACAATGTCTCAAATTTCCGAAAGAATATTCAAATAAGTTGGGATGAATATGAATTGAATCTCCATCTTTTGAAATATCAGCTAAACAGTTCACCACCACGATTATGGTGAATTGGCGAGTTATCAATGAAGACGAGTGGACGTCTCCGGTCATGAGCTGGCTGATTCGAATTTATCCACTTTTACAGTGATGAAAAGTTGAGTTACTAGTAATTACAAGCCTGATTTACATTTTTCTTGTGGTGTTTTTCGTCAATGTATTAAATATAAGTGCGTTGGGAAATAGCATAATTATATTGCGTCTGTGAAAGAGGCTGGTGAGACTGTGTCACAACGCGTTCTAGTTATTACCAACGTGCGTGGTCGGCGCCTCTGATTGCGTTTATTTTGTATTTTTATTTTCAAAATGTATCACTGGCTGCGTTTTTTTTGTTATGTCTCGCAACTGAATGTCCAAGCTGACTTTGTTTTGGCTGTAGTTTGGAGAGAAATTAACTTTGAAGAATCCAATACTATCATGGGTTTTATCTTATAAAAACACAGAAGGGGGTAATGTAAAAAAACATTCATTTAAATTTTAATTATTATTTTTTTATTATAATTATATAATTATTCCACCCAAGAATGAATCATACTTAGAGTGACTCACCCTAGAGGACGAATCACCAGCGGAAAAATTCACTCGCAACAGGTGAAAATGTAGCACATTCGGATTTTAAGTTAAGAGTGTTATAAGGGTATGAGTAATCTTGTATGGTTCACAGTCACATTCAGACTAGCATGGCATTGAATCTCTTCTAACAAGGTTACTGTTAGTTGTTATGAGTTATCAAGGTCAGACTAGAGATTATGGACAAGCAAGCAAGATGATGCTAGGAAGAACTAGTCCAGGTTGAAGGAGTTATTGATGGATTTCATAATTTAATAATTACCTGTAAGTATAAATGTTCAACAGTTGAACTATTAAGTAAATTATTTAGATTTTAATCTCAACAACTTTTATTTATTCAAAAGTGTTTTTGAATCTCAGACCACTACGTTTTGAGGTTGAATAATGTTTAGCTCAATGGAGAGATGAAACACAAAGATCGGCAACATTTCAGTTGAAAGTGGCACTTCTGTTTACTGACGTTGCCATAGAAACGAGTATTATTGGTAAAATTGAACATTTGTCACCCACCAGTTGTGAAAACGTGCCCAACTATCACTGAAATTTATTTTGATTTTGTGGCATTTTTTTCTTGGCGACAACGGACAAGATACACGTAGGACGCGCTCTGGCTTTGTAAATTCGTGTCTGTAACCCAAACTACTAGTATATTACGTAACCCTGACGTAACGGGTCTTCCCGCGGTTTTAGATATTAACGGCTTTTTCTGTCAAGGACGGCCATCAAATACACGCATTCAATAATTTTGTGTTTCTGTCTGTGTTGGTCAATATATATGGTTCTGAATCATGTTAACGGGCGTGATTATACATCATGACTCACTCTACGTATGCTGGGGGATGAAACAGCCTCGACCAGCGCGTCAAACTTTGTTGTTCCCACAGTGACAAATACCATCTTCTCTCTACCAGCCATGTTGCCATTTTAGGTTATGCTCCTCTTTCGCGAAGAAATTTTTAGTAAAGTAGTATTTGATAATATATTTCATTTCATAGTTATCCTAAACTTCAGTTTGTTGAAATTAATATTATTGCGTGGGTAAAATACAAAATAAGAATTTGAAATATGTGAAATAATTTTAACAATCTGTGGACGAGGAATATGTTTTTCAAAGCCTCGAACGAGTGTCACGTTGTCGCGTTGCATTATGGACTACGCACATACACACAAATGGCTGGAGCATGTGGGTCTCTGTTCCCGCCTCGTGAAGAATGCATTTATACGTCCTGTTATTGGTGAGTAAATTGTGCGCGATATGTCATACCACCATTCTGACATATTTAGGAATAATTTGGAACAGATTTTGTAAAATTCACTTATACTTGCTCTATCTACAAAACGAATTTTGAGACTCCCGCCTAGAGAGTCGTTAGCATTTTGAGGGCCAAGGGTCACAGTACGTAGCGTCGCGTGGGTTTTGGCCTCGTGGTACACAGCGCGGGAACGACCAAAAACGTACATTTTTAAAACAATTCCACTTTGAAAATTTTCTCTGGCAATTTACCGACCGTCTAGGATTGTTTTGGTGAGTGGTGTTATTTTTCTATAGTCATTTGTTGCACGTATTCGAACCCACATGTGTAAAAGTTATTGTTCACCATCCATTTTGAAAAATACTCGTAAATTTGTAACAGTCGTACACGAAAGTCGTGAAAAACGACATAAAGTGAGTCTTCGGCCACACATAACTCAATAATATATTATTGTACATAACGTCAACAATATTAAAACAATTTTTTGTTAATTTCTAAAAGAGAGTGGTGATAATTTTAACATTTGAAATTGTGTTTTTTTGTTTGAAAGAGCCCAACATGTGTCGTCCATTTTTCTACTACGAAATGTTTACTACCGAGAGGCCTCAAACATTTGCATAAACACAATTGGCCTGGGTGTTCTTGAAAGCCGTACATGTTCATTCATGAGATTTAGAGTAGTATTTCTCTTAGTGTTCAATGTTACGCTGATTTGTTGCTGCGTTTTTATTCAACTCTATTAGAGTCGATGAATGTACTGCATTGAATCAATTTGCATAAATTACCGAAAATGGAACGGTTTTTCCGTAGCTACGAGCGTCGATGACCTAGTTCACATACGCAGTTATTCCCGCAAACTTTGATGAATTGTGCTTTGAAAATAGAAGTAAAATTGAATGTTGGCGCCTTCTTTTAAGTCGGAATTTGTTAATGACGCAGTTTCACACTGTGTTTTACTGTGTAAAAAAAATGCAAATTCAGTGGCGCAGTTCAGTGTGACCAAAAACGCGCGGGAAAATTGTAACAAATTTGATAGGCACGCAAAAGAATATTGCCTTTACACGATTCTGGCAATATGCCAATTTAAATTCGGTTGTTGTGCTTGAATCATCCTGGTTTGTTTACGTCTTCGTAAATGACGTTTTTCCGTTTCCCTGGTTTTGATAGTGAAGAAAATGTGTGGAAGCTGTGCGAGCATGTTCAAAGCAGATACCCAGATTTGATTGAAGATTGTTATGCAGTTTTCATTTCAAACCAATTCAAAACAGTAAGTTAATTATTTTCTATTTACAATTTGATTTTATGGTTAAGATTCTTTCAAATCTAAAATAAATGGCAATCATTTAAAATTGTAGGTTCCGTTGTGGATGCAAAAAGCTGCACAAAGTGCCGATGTACCTGTTGTCTGGGTAGGTTTCAAGTTTTACAGTTAAAAATTGACAATTGATTGCAAAGTTAATAATTACCTTGAAGTCTTTTGAAAAAACGTTGAAAATGACAAAAGTGCATTATTTTAAAAGTGTTTGGTTAGTGCATGCTCTTTAGTATGATAAACAGCTGTTCATAGCATATAAATGCATGCATAGACTTGTTAAGCAAGTCTACAGAAAGAAAAAAAGAACCCCAATTAAATTTATTGAATCTTTCAATGTTACATTTTTAAGTTAATTGGATATTTTTAAGGATTACCACGTAATATTAATACAGAAAAGTAATACTGGGAATGCTGAAGTTTATGATCTTGACTCTGTCCTTGAATTTCCGACCCCATTCTTGGATTATTCCAGTCAAACATTTCGTAATGAGCAGTTAAAACAGCAGTATCATCGGTAAGGATCTTTCCATCTCTAAACTCGATACATGAACAAGATAAAACTTGAATGATAACAAGTGTTTTGCTTAGATTGTGATTGCATTGCGTGCATTATATTCCGTTCTAGGAAATTTAGAGTGATCAGAGCTTCCGAATACCTGGAAACTTTTGCGTCTGACAGGTCGCACATGTTGAAGGATGGGCAATGGTTAGCACCCCCTCCCATCTACCCGTGCATTCAGACAAAAGGCAAGTCCCCTCAACAGTAAATGTACGGTAAATAAAATTTTAGACAAAGTTTGAAATAAAATTTTATAACAGAAGTTAAACTAGGTGCCTAATATCAAACTTTATTTTTATCCTTCAGAATCAATTATGAATTTGAACGACTTCATCTCAGTAAATCCCTCCTTTGGTGTTGGGGAAGTAATGACACTTCAAGCTTTTAATTTTCATTTTTCTTGTGGTTAGTGAAGTTGCCAGAAATGTTAAAATTTACATTATATATACATCTTTATTTCATACTGTTGCCATCTATTTACATTGTATGAAGACCTATGCATGTTAAAGTCTTAATTTTGACTTCTTCCTGCAATTGTAAATGTATTTACATCAGTTTGTATTGTATTATATTGTAATCGTTTTAAATAAAGTCCTGTCTTTTATTAATCATCAAAGATGTAGATTCTCCTGGGGCATACCCTTCAGTCTGGATGTGTATTTTCATCTGTTGGTATCAATCTATACAGTAAATACCATTCAGATTGCAGGGTGGTCCTTCCAAGCAAGTTTAAGTCTTCTAATCTAATTTTGTGTTGGCCGCTCCAATCTCTGTGTGCATTTTCATCTGTTTTAGCCAAAGAACAGTAAATGCCACTGAGATTAGAGCGTTTATCACTAAGACGACTTTCTGGATTTTCTGAGTAAAGGAAGTTTAGTAGTTAGTCTTTTCAGGGAGTTGTTACTTCAGGCATAACTTGTGCGCAAAGTTTCTAAAACATTTGATTTGTGGGTGATGGATATATTGTGTGGACTGACTCTGGCCGGCCAGCCTAAATGGCACTTTACACTGCATACATTCACAGCAGTAAATGCCATTCAGGTTGACTGGAAAGTGTCTTCAAACACCTGTACAGCAAGATAACATTGATTGAAGCTTGAAGTCATGGAAAGATACTTTGATCTATCGACAAGTTTGCTGTGAAGACTACTTACACTCCAGTCTCAATGTGTATTTTCATCTGTACTCTGTTAATACAGTAAATACCATTGAGATTGCAGAGTCTGTGGTCGCCATTCAACGATGAATCACAAAGATGACCTTGTACTTCAGACCAGTTCATTTGTTGTTCAAAGCAGCTCTGTTGCTGCCTCCAACTTTCAGTGAGTTGCGTGTAATGTTTTAACTTTATCCAATATTGAATGTAGTAAGTTTAATGTTTATATTCGGATTTGTACTGATGAAACCAAAAATGGCATTCACATAAAGCTGAATGGAATTTTTACAAGTTTATATTATAATAAATATAATATAAAAAATGAATGTTTCTAATATAAGTTTACCAGAAATTACATTTATATAAAGCTTTCATCAGAACAGTTGTAAATACGCTATTGAACTTCCTCTTGAGGGCCCTTTTTAAATGAGTTTATTAACGGGGTCAAGGTTACCTTTATTTGTTTATATAAAGTAGCAGGACTTGGCTGTAAAACTGAAGTTGATTTTTTTGAAGACTTTGTATTGATAATTTGGATTGTCTGCTCACTGTCCAAGAAAAATAATCATTCACCTAGTGGCTGAAAACCACTGGATAACATCCTTGATAGTTTGGGGCATGCCTAACTAACCTGAAATAACGTTAGTTGTATTTGACAGGTTTTGTACTAAAATCAAACTTTGTTAAAAGGAATGAAAATTCTCAAAATTTTGCCTTAAACAAAGCAGTTTACAACTAGAGTTAGGAACAAAGCAATTTCTGTTTCCAGATGTGGTCACACCAGCTGTTTGCTTTTCTTTTGTTTGCATAACAAAGGGATAACAGGGCACAATGCCTCCCACAAACTTTCGCTTACTACCAAGAGTTTTCTTTGTTTACTTTTTTCCCCTGCCTGCTTGTAATAAGTATATGTGGTTATCCCAATATTTTGTCGGATGAATAATCAGAGTAACAGATAGGATGCTTCTTATTCATGAATGATTGAGGCAGTCAAATATAGAAGTCAGTATGCTTGTATGCATGGACCTAACAAAAGCCATAAGAACAAATTTAGATAATTCTTCTCGCAATTTTTTACTCTTGTGCGCAAAGCACACAATGAGTCTTTGCAGTTAGTACGCATGTGTCACACTGTTGCGCTGATATCTGAAGAATCGTACGTTGGTTTTTGATGAAACTCCATGCATAGATGCTTGCTTACCATCTTATTTATCTTATTATTAGGGTTTCTATTATATAATTATCTGATTTGCATAATAATTCACATAAAACGTTATACATGTGCACCCTGGAACAATTATCGCTGGAGGTTGTAATGTTCCTCCCGCCCGGTAGGATAATGCTACAAACACTCCAGTCACACTGTTAGCGGAACGGAGTGTGCCGTTCATAAAAAGGGTGTAAGGCTGATTGGGTGACGCGAGTGTCCAACGCCCACAATTCACAGCAAATGTCGTAAACAAAATCACCTGACTGCTGCCATTTTCAATTCTGTGTCTGTGTGCGTCTCGGTTTAATCTATTGTGTGTAACTGTTCATAATGTGAAAATTTGGCCACGATTGCTGAAACTAGCCTTATTTTTAGAAGACATTCCTGGTGTGCCATCTCTCGAAGAGGTACAGTTTACGGCAATTGTAGGGGTTGTAAACTGTCGTGACACTTGTGGTATTGCAGACTGATTACGACATGATTTGTCGTAATCATGTTTTATTGTTTTGCAACATATCAATTTCCTTTAACAAAACCGTCGATAATCTGCCGAAACCATGATTTTGTATTTCTGCAAGATTATTGCAAGAGCAAATTAAAAAAATAATTCCAGTGTGACCAGTGTAGGAAATTTGTCCAGATTACATACCAGACATCAGGGGTGGTAACTTTCAAAAGTTACAAGCCCTGCTAAAATGTTACCAGTCCCGCACATTTTTTTCAATAATTTTCGCACACACACACAAATAAACACAAGTTGTATACAATATACTATGCACGGTTTATTTTAACAACAAAGTAGCTGTAGAGAACATGCATATTCAGAACATGATATATCAGATGTCTGTGTCACTGTTGCTCTCGGCTTGATCAGAAAAATCTGAACCATAGTCAGAATTTAATCCAGCTACCAA